ATTTTTAGTCTTTACAGTTAAAATATATGTTTATCAAATAAAGTCTAATGTTACAACTTATCAGGGATCCCTTTAATCCTCTCACACTTGAGCTGTTGTTAGATGTTGTTTCACCTGCTGACGTCTCAGTTTCTGCTGCTTCGCCTCTCGTCACGCAGCACGTTGGAGCTAATAACGTTCTATAATGTTGCTTCATTAACTCTGTTCAACAGCCCGATATTTATGGTGGAAAAAAAAAGGTTTTGATGCATTTTGTGTTCCAATAGGCCCAGCTTCAGCATCCCCTTCCCGTTAAAGAGGACTGTTGCCTAGCAACATCTTATTTTGGAGATGGTAAAGGGACCACTGTGTCAGAGTTGAGAGGATAATAATTACCATCTTTCAGCCAATCAGAATCGCCTACCTATAAAATTGCCACTACAGCTTCAGAAAAACCATTTGTAGGTTTCTAAATGTTTTTTTTTCTTTTCTCACAGGAGAATATAAAAACACGGGGTGTCATAAAAAATGACTCAAACAGTTGAAGTGTTTTAGTAATACAGCTGCTGCAATATAAAGGACTTTAAAACAAATTTATTTGAAAATGAAATCACAAACAAATTAAAAAATGCCTTTTATTTTTTTATCTTTCACCTTAAATGACTCAGTGAAAGCTATGAAATTAAACATAAGAAAATCATGAATTATATCAAATAGTGCAGTTTAAAAGAGCTGATTCCAGTACTTTTTTTAGATATATTTATATATACTGTTCAGACATGCAAACAATGTTATAAAAAATAAAGATCTGCTGAATGAGTATTACATTCRTCTGTAAATATTAATAGTAGTGCAACATTTGAGATAAATTTTAGTTTCATCATTTCATAATTTATGTCCTGAATCCAGATCCAGTGGAATTATAACAGGGCTTTTTCTAACATAATAACAGAAAACCAGTTGTAGAATATTTTATTTGGCAAAAACTAAAGTTTTCATTTCATGTTAAAAATGTTTTATCTCTTTCAAATGCATGAAATARTATGAAAATGAACTAATCTGTTTTCTGTGAGCAGCGTCTCTTTGTAGATTTACTTTTTTATTTAATGTGTTGGATGGGTTTGCAGCTTCGCACAGACAGAGGGCGCTGTTCTCCTGCATCACGAAGAGCTGAAAATCCACCGTTTAGCTGCCTCTGCCTTAAATCACATTAACTCTGGAAGCGTTTTATTAGACTAGAACAAAATTAAAACTGGTTACATTAAATACACACAAAAATCAGTTGTAAAAATAAAAATTTGAAGTGATTTTGGCTCATTTATCTGTTTATCTCGTGCAGCTTCACATTGCGATCAGCAAAACCAATGCCAAAGTGTTCATCGACTGCAAAATGGTGGCCGAGAAACTCGTCAACGCGGCAGGAAACATCACCACGGACGGAACCGAAGTTCTGGGCCGGATGGTTCGCTCCCGAGCCAACAAGGAGAACTCTGCACCGGTGAATAACACACACACACACACACGCACACGCACACACACACACACGCACACACTCACAACCATTCAGCCACAAAAAGTTCCATGTTTCTGTCAGATCATCAGTGTTAAAAAAATAAAAATAAAATTAAAAAGTGAATAAATGTGGATTTTTTTGTCATGACTGCTTCACCAACTTTCAATAAAGTTTTTTTCCAAGTGRTTTAAAAGAACAAGGATTACAAAGTGTAACTAAGTTTCGAGTGTCTTTAGGCGCCACATGAAGACAGAGCTGCTGATTGGCCTGTCATCTTCACAGCTGCTATCAGCGCTCCGTCTGATTGGCCCCATCACTCTGATAATCCTAAAGATGGCTCCCTGAGCCACAGGAATTACATAATCTGATTATCTGTCGCAGCAGTGCTTCCAATAATGCCCCTTTTTTTACAGCCAGTTTGGTTGGTTTAACCACTATTTGAAAAAAAATCTTTGACGCAGACTAATTTTTTTACACCTAAGCCTTTTTATCCGGCCTTTATTTCTTTGATTTATCAGCCACGGTTTTAAAAGGACCTGAGGATGAGCAGCTAAGAAAATAAATGTTGAATTTAAAAATATACACCTTTGTTTAAAAGGTTCATATTTCAGATTTATAATTTACATACATCCTCACAAATAGCCAGAAAGCMATAAAATAGAAACCCTTCACGAACAAAGACGACTGAAAGACAGATGATTTTTTTTTTAAATCTCCTCAAAAAAAGATAAACTTTGAATCCTCAGCTGTGTTTCAAACTGCCTGAGTTATGCTAAGCTCTGACACKTTTTAACTTACCCCTTTATATTTAAGTACATTTACTTGGACATSATAAAAAATACCGAAATTTGCAGAAAGAAAAAGCGTTTTAGCTGTAATACTTTAACGTTGTAGGTATTAGCAAAGTTTACAATAAGTTGTATCATAAAAGGAAGAAAGTTATCAAATTATTTTAGCACTAAATTTGAAAAAATCACATCTAAGATGCTGAATTAAAAACAAACATTAAAATTAAATATAAAAATATGTAATGTTG